CTCCCCAGAGCAGGAAGAAGTGAACCGGCCTGTGGCATCGCGGGGAGGGATGGGCGCCAGCGTGGGGGCCCACGAGCGAGCTCCAGAGGCTGCGTGTTCGTGTAGGCCGCCTGGAGATGGCCTGGTATCCTGTGGAGAATGGCCTGGCAGTGAAGGCGTCGCATGGCTGTGTCCGAGTTTCTTTTACGCTACAGCAGAGGAGGGCTGTTGGATTTGTTCATGTGACTTTTACACATTAGGGACCAATCCCATCACTGGGATGAAAAAACTGTTTCAAGCATGACAGTAAAAAGATGTTTGTCATTAATGAAATGCAATTTTGTGACCACTAATGCGCTTTTAATTATGTGGGTTCGTGGGGTGAGTCTGCTGACATAATAACATCACTTGAATAAACGCAAGATCTCCAGGAAAAAAAAATCATCAGCATAATTAATTTGCAAATACCTGGATCTTGTTTTAGTGTAACTCTTTATTGGAGCCTGCTGGTTGCCTGTTTGACCTTTGGTAGAAACCATGTAGACGGAAAATGCATTTTGAAACACTCCAAAGCCCGTGGTAAAATGAGCCGATTCCTGTAGTGGGTGTAGAGACTGAAATGGCCTGAGTGGGAAAGCAGAGAAAGGGGGCTTGCGGGCAGGGGCAGCGGCAAGGTCTTGTCCATGAGCAAGTGGCGATGAAGGAGTTTATTTTCCTCCTAAGGAGGTATGGTTGGTTGTGGAAGGAGGAGGTTTGGCTGTCGTATGAAGCAGGCATCTGTGATAGACAAAGAGGAGCTGAAGGGAAGTGCAAGGGCTCCGTCCTGGTTTGGGATTATGTGTTTGCACAGTTCTGCTCTGGCCGGGGGAGGTGCAGGCTCACATTTCACCTTGGTCCCAGGGAACTGATCCCTTATCTGTTGGCAAGACCAAAGCACATAGCATGGCTGGGTTGCTGTGACAGCGCAGTTGTTAGATGGCAGGGACCTGTGTTTGCTGCTGGGGAGCGTGATTTCCCTTTTTCACCTGGAAGTGGGCTTGTGTCTGACTTTACTGTATAGCGTATAGGACTGGTAAGATCACCAGGATCTTAGAAAGCCATTGTAAAATACACCTGGACATCAAAATACTGCTCAGTTGTTTACATTTACTGTATCTTTGCAGTGTAAACTGTTAATGAGTACTTTGGTTTGTTTGGTATTCTCTTTGGTGTTACGGTGCTTTGTCTTCATATCCTTTCATTCAGTAAATCATTTTAAGAACAGTCCTGCTTCCATACTGAAAGGAGAAGTTACTCCCTGGTGGCACTGTGGGTGCCTACAGGAGTGTTCTGTCTTCGTTGACGTGATGCATTTCGTACAGCACAGACCTGAAACCACTGCAGCTTGCCGTGTGCGCACACACCTGCTTTGCTGAATGAGGTCGGGAGCGTTATGTCCTGAAGTCCTTGTCCCAGCTGGGGTCAGCTTTTGCCTTTCTCCACCTGCATCCTTTGGGTTCGGACTTACGAGACATGCAATATCTGACTTTTTAAAAGGACTTTGCCTATGATTTTTCTTGGGAACAGAAGACAGAAGAATTGTTTTGTGTAATATTTAAGAGATGAAACCAAGATTAAGTTCCATACCCTAATGCAAATTACGGTGTTGCTTTTATAGGGAGAGCTATGTAAACAAAACTACTCTTGTTTGTAGCAAAAAGAAGGGTAAGTAAGCAACAGACACAAATGTTTACAAAAGAGAGAAAACAAAAAGGATCAGCAAAACAAGAAGCAAGCTTCTGTCTAGGATAAGCAAAGAAGCATGAAGTGGTACTCTCTGAAATAAAAAGAATTTGTCATCTGTGCTGCTGCAG